AGACCATTAAGAATCTGCCCACACTCACGGTTTACGGTTTATGGTTTAGAGTTTATGGTTTAAGGTTTAGGGCTTAGGGATCAGGGTTTGGGGTTTAAGGAACAAAGGTCTGTCCAGACCAAGCATTAATAATCTGTCCAGACTCACGGTTTAGGGTTTATGGTTTAGAGTTTATGGTTTAAGGTTTAGGGCTTAGGGATCAGGGTTTTGGGTCTACGGTTTAGAGAAAAAGGTCTGTCCAGACCAGGCACCAAGAATCTGTCCAGACTCGTTAACCCTATACTAAGAAAGAAGGTCTATCCAGACCAGGCATCAAGAATCTGTCCAGACTCTTGAAACCCTACATATAATAACCTATAAGCCCTAAACCATAAACCCCAAACCCCGGACCCTGAACCACAAACCCCGGCCTAAACCCCAAGCCCCCTAAACCCCATACCCCTATAGGCCCTAACCCCTATGTATATATGATATACATGTATGTATGTATGTATGTATGTATGTATGTATATGTATGTATGTGAATATATAGGCCCAAACCCTATGCGCCGAAACCCCTAAACCCCAAAACCCCTATAGGCCATAAACCCTATATATAGAAACCGCATAACCCGATAACCTGAACCCCAACTTAAACCCTATAAACATCAAACCCGGAACCACAAAAATCAAAACCTGCACTGAAACAATCTACATCTATCTATCTATGCATCCATCTATCTGTCTATCTATATCGATCTATGTTTCTTTACATATCTTCACATATCTCTATATATCTTTATATGTCTTTATCTATTTATCTATCTATCTAGATATAAAATCCACAGTTGCCTCGATATGCTATATATACATATATGTGTATGTATGTATGTATGTATGTATGTATGTATGTATGTATGTATGTATGTATGTATGTATGTATATATATATATATATGTATATATGTATATATATATATGTATATGTATATGTATATGTATACATATATATATATATATAGGCATATGTATATACACATACATACATAATATATATATATATATATATATATATATATCAGTTTTGTTAGACAGGACAATACGAAATTTTGCGATGTCTACGATTGATTTTTAACATCCTACGCTCGATTCTTCGCTCGATTCCTCGATTGAATTTATGAAGGTCCCCGCTCGATTCCTCGATTGAATTTATACTTCGTGTACTATGTGGATCCTCGATTGATTTTATCAATCGAACGCTTGAATTTTTTTGTTTTTCGATCGGCGCTTGAAAACACCATCCTCGCTCGAAAAAAATCAATCGGAGAGCCTTTGGGTACTGTCTCCACCAAAATCCGAACGACCCCAGGTCACGACAGATCTGTCACCCAGAATGGCTGCAAAAGCAAAGCGAGTAGCTTGAATCTGCTGCGCCTGCTTCAGCTGATGCTGCACAGCCCAGCAATCAGCACCCCCACCAGCAGTACCCAAGGTCACGACAGATCCATCACCAAGAATGGCTGCAAAAGCAGCACCAGTGGCTTGAATCTGCTGCACATTCTTCAGCTGTTCCTGCACAGCACTACTGTCTCCACCAAAATCCGCACGACCCCAGGTGACTACAGATCCGTCACCCAGAATGGCTGCAAAAGCCAAGCGAGTAGCTTGAATCTGCTGCACATTCTTCAGCTGATGCTGCACAGCACTACTGTCACCGCCATCGTGGGCATCACCCCAGGTCACGACAGATCCGTTACCAAGAATGGCAGCAAAAGCAGCACCAGTGGTTTGAATCTGCTGCACATTTTGTAGCTGATCCTGCACAGCACTACTGTCTCCACCAAAATCCGAACGACCCCAGGTCACGACAGATCCGTCACCAAGAATGGCAGCAAAAGCAGTACCAGTGGCTTGAATCTGCTGCACATTCTTCAGCTGATCCTGGACAGCACAATTGTCTCGACCGCCGTTCACATCACCCCACGTCACGACGGATCCGTCACCAAGAACGGCAGCAAAACCAATATTGGTACTGACTACTTGAACTCTGGCTATGTGCAGGCCTAATGAATCCCCATTCTGCAGTGGAGTACATTTGATCGTTGCGCCTCCATCCAGCACGCCTCCATTCGAGTCTACCAGCTTCCCAACCCCTACTTCAAGCGCCGCTTGTGCCCGACGCTTCAATGTTCCGACCTTTTCGTCCAAGCTTGCATTCACCCAAGCCCTCTTGCCACTCAGCAATGCCACTTCCACAGAAATCGACGTGCCGCAAATGTCAACCGAATTAATGGCTGCAGACTATAGTACCGAAGCCCTGTATTTAAGCACGCAAAGCACCAAAACCCTACTTACAGACAAATACTGGGTAAACACTTTCACAAGATGCCGGGCTAGGGAAGAACTGTGAGAACACAGAATCTAGCTAGTAAAAGTCCAAACCATCCAGCTATAAGCTCCGCATTGCGATCTGGGAGATCGTCAATCAAGCTGTCGTACTGCTGTTCCTCAGAGGTAATTAAGCCGAAACTGACTCTCATTCTCTTCCCACTGAAGCTTTTCCTCAAACTCGGAACCCAAATAGGCTATGAGCTCACTATGGTTTTCATCGAAGGAAGCACGCAGCTCAGCGAGATGATGTTCGTGCTGTCTGTGTTCCGCGGTGAGTGTGCGCGCAGCTGCATCCAGCTCGGATCGATGTGCATCAAACTGCATTGCCAATGACCGCTCGTCTTGACATTCCCTCTGTGTGTGTGTCAGCTGTGCCTGTAGCTCTTGTGCTGTTCGTTGTTCTGCACGGGCAATGCTTTCGAGCACCCTAGCTTCACTGTGAAGTTGCCCTACCAGCACATTGGTAGACTGACTCACCAAGGCTAGCTGCTGTCGGTGGTTAGCATCTGCGGTGGCTTCCAAATGCGAGATGTACGCATTCGCCTCAGCATACACATTGTCGAGGACGAATTGATGCCGTCGCTCTGCTCTGAGTTCCAGTGCATTCTGTATGCGAGGATCGTTGAGGAAGATATTGACCTGGTTGTTTTCCTGCAGTAATTGTAGGAAATACCGATTGGCCTCCGCTTCTGTTCTCTGACCATCCGAGTTGCCCGTGGCCGCGATAAACGGCACAATGTCCATTGTCAAAGCAACCTACGGCTGATAACCTGAAGTTTCCCAAGCTAACAGCTAGACACGACTTACTACCGGTAAGTCAACCCTGTGGGCTTTTTCCATGGGGACTCGAGCCAGGCGGTGCGTCGCGTAATAGAATAGCTAAGGACCATGAAAGCAATGCTGGAGGCAGGGTAAAATCTACGGTGCTTGGCCTCAAAAAGAAACTAACTTTGTAGTTGAGGGTTTTGGTGGTACAAGCTGTTCAGGCTTGGGGATACACTTGAGAAGGCTGTGAGAGCAACTCCTGCGTGGACTATTCCGTTTCTCGAAACCTATAACAACACTAAACCCGAACTAATAAGTTAACCCCTAAAGCCTACATAAACCCTTAACAATAAACCGTTTAAAGCTTAAGGGTTTAGTGTTTAGGGAACTCCCGAACCCCTCAGTTAAGGAATACCTTAACCCCAAGTAACCTACCTTTTCAAGGAATTGTATAAAGAAATAATAATTGGGAACCCTATCAGGGTAGGTTCCTTAGGGTCCAAGTATACCTTAAACTACCAAACCCTACTTTTTGGTAGGTTCTTACTGTAAACCCTTATATGGAATTTATAGGGACCCTGCAATAAAGTAGGTTTTGGTAGGTTAAAGTAGCCTAAAGTCCCGGGTCCCTAAACCTGATTTATGGTATACTCCGTAATTGAAGATTAGGAAGTTCCCGAAAATAGAGGACCCCTATACAGTACCCTACATAGTAGGATCCTTATTATAAGGGCCCCAAAATGAGGTACCCCTAATTTTCGGCAACTCCCATCTATGGTACCCAGAGGGTCCAAGTACCCAAATAGTAGGGTTTTAGGTCCTAACCTCCATACTCTGAACAATTTTTGGAATTTGAAACCCTACTATTTGGGTACTTGGACCCTTTAGGGGTATATATACTCCGTAATTGAAGATGTGTGGGCCTCTAGGAAACCTTACACTCTAAACCGAAATCCCGCAAGACGTTGACCCTGAGGTTTGGCTTCTAGGTGTTACGTAAGCTCTGTGGGTACACGACACTGAGGGACGGCTAGGGCTTGAATCTGGGGTTAAGCTTAACGTCTCGCTGGGTGTTCCCACATTCCAGCGGAAGCCGCCTTGACAAAACCGGTATGATGCTAAACCTTCTTACAACTTCTAATCCTCCACTGCAAATGGCCCTACACGCCAAACCCGAGTTAAACTTGATGTGGGATCCTTGAGTCCTTAACAAGTATAGTGGTGTTTGGATTTATTGCGGAAAGTTTGTAGCAAGGAACCCGAAATTTCAAAAGAATGCTATTCCCTAAGGCTCCATGTACCCATATAGTCAGTATATACTTAGGCCGTAACGTACCTACATAGGGACACCTTTAAGGCTTCAGTATCTATTATAATTATAATGGTACCATGGACCCTTATACCCTAATCCCTATAGAACCCTTTAAAGGAACCCTTAAAGGAACCCTTCAAAGGAACCTCTTCAGGAAACCCTTTAAAGGAACCCTATATGGGTTGGGGGTGCATGGAGCTTTTGGGATGGCTTCTGCTTAATCGGAGCAGGAATCCCGGTTACTTGAAGGTTTATAGGGGTTTAGGGTTTAGGGGTTTAGGGTTTACGGTTTGGCAAGTTACGAACCGTAGGGATCCAAGGACTCATATATTAGGGCTTTTGGGCCCAAAGACCATACTGCGTAAGGCATTTGGGCAATTTTGATGCCCAGGGGAACGGCGGCAAGTGTGTATGCGTTACGATTTAGGGTGCATGTGTTTGTGGCCGTCACTTTTTTGATGCTTGTCAATTTTTTGATGCCTATGAAATTTCATTTCTTTTGATGCCCATGCCGCCTTGAAAGATCCCCCGAGACGACAGAGCTCAGAGGGCACTCGGCTTCCTGTGCTAGCATATATCCGCGCCCGGCGCGCCAGGTCAACTCCTTTTAGGGGCTCTTGCAGAGGGGTTTCGGGTTTTATGAGGGATCTTTGGGGTTTAGGGGGTTTAGGATTTGGGTTTGTTTGCTAGGGCTCTAAGTACACAAGTTGCTGTCAAAAGTCTAGAAAGACCCACCTACTTCGGGCTCATTGGAGCCCTGGGTTGTTTATGTACCGGGTTTGGGATTTAGGGCTTGTTCTCAGCGTTCCTCAAGAGCTTCCTTTAGGGGTTCTTCAGGGTTTCGGCTGTTAGGCTTTGGGGGTTTAGGGTGTCGGGTCTCAACTGGAAAGCATAAACACCTTATGAGGGTCCAAAGTATCATTCGAGGGCACAAAGCATAGAACATTCATTATTAATCAATCAAATTTCTCTTGTTTTATAATCAACATCACCAAGTAATTAACCATCATCCATACCATCTCATATACTATGTGGGTGGTTGTCAAAATTATGGTCCCTTTTGGGGTACCCTAAATATTATAATCGGGACCCAAAAAGGGACCCTAATATTGACAACCACCCATATGCTATACCGTCTTAAGGTAAAAGCCAGAGAGTTGGAATATGATTATCCTTCTATGGTAAATTATAGGGTATCCTACCATGAAACCATATTCCAACTTTCTGGAGTTCCCTGTATATGCCAGGTACTTTGGATTCGGATCGTAGTCTTGTGACTTCGACACTGAAATCATGAAATCCAACACAATCCCTAAGGTTCCAAGCACCCAAATAGTAGGGGTTCAAGGTCCAAAAACCATTCAGAGCATGGATCTTGGGACCTAAAACCCTACTATTTGGGTACTTGGACCCTCTGGGAATGTTTTGGTTGGCTTCTTTTCTTTCTGTGGGCACCTAACCATACACTAGGTCAGCCCCGAAACTGAATCATGCAAGGGTCAAGGACGGTTAGAATGTTGGGACTATTAACATATTAGTATGTATCTTATACTTGGAGGGGTGTCTACTGCGCTGAAAAAAGACACACATCTGTCCGACCTTAGTTATTCATCAAAAGGGCTTTTGGGCTGGAGCCTATTGTGGCACACCCTAAACCATAAACCCTAAAACCCTAAATCCCAACATCCCAAACTCCAGAATGCCTAAATGCATGCATTGCATGGATTCGTGTCCCGTGGTGCGGCGATAGTAGGATTCGTAGACTCCTCTAGCCCAATACATCCTAAAACCTAAAAGCCTGAAGCCCTCAAACCCTACACACCCTCGCGGCTGCCCTATGGCCTTATGCCCTAAAGCTACAACCTAAACGCCGAAATCCCAAACCCCAAACCTCAAATCTCACATCCTTGGCAAACCTCCACCCCCAAACCTTACAGAATACTAGTTCATGACCCTGGAATTATTCGGTGTAACACCGAAAGCAATAGGTTTGCTGATCTCCAAAAAAAGTCCACAGCCCCCTGATGATATGCCCTAAAACCTTACATTTTACGGTGTCTTCCTTAACTAAGGGGTATTGGGTTCTTTGGGTTTGCGGATCCCAGGGAAAAGTCCACAGCCCCCCCTTTCGAACGCCTTTGGTGTTGCGGCTGCTACGGCTCGAACCATGGCCTTCGCCTCATGAATGAATTGCTGAAGGTGCTCAATAATCCCTAAGGCTCGATGTACACATATAGGGCTCATTTACGGGTTTCTTTAAAGTGTTAAATAAGGAATCTATAGGGTTTCGAGTATAAGGGGCCATGGTGCCCATATAGTATATAGTATATACTTAGGCCTTGAAGTACCTAGACAGGGACCCCTTTAAGGCTTAGGGCTACTATAAGCTACATGGAGCCTTTAATATTCTTGGGGCCTGAACTACTCGACTGGCATGGAGTTCCTTGAAAGGGTTCTGTGAAAGATTCTTTAAGGAGTACTATTTGGGGGGATGGGGTATTATGGGTTTAATGTAGGACCATGTAAGAACCAGTAAACGCCTTAATACAAGCCAAAAGGTTGTGGTGTGATTTTGGAATAGCCGCAGCCAGGATCAGACTTCTGACGCATATACTGCTACAAAATATACACGTTTCTCTCTCTCTCTCTCTCTCTCTCTCTCTCTCTCTCTCTCTCTCTCTCTCTCTCTCTCTCTCTCTCTCTCTCGCTCCCTCTTTATCAAAATACAACCTGTTGCTTAATCTAGATTTTGTCATTACCTTTCCTAAACATAAACCGGGTTATGCTAAACAAAAGGTGCACATCACAGTTTATCAAAAACGAAAAACCTTTAAATCCCAAAACAACGCCGCTACACACAATACCTCTTTTGAACACTTCCAAGAACCTTTAAATGCGCCCTATATGGAGGTTTCCGAAAATAGGGGACCCTAAAATAGTACCCTAAATAGTAGGATCCTTATTATAAGGACCCCCAAAATAAGGTACCCCTAATTTGGGGAAACTCCCACATCCTAGAATCCCTACTGTTGATGATAAAAATCATCCTGCTTTACCTGAAGGCCCCTAAACTATGGGAATTATGGTATATTCCTTATTATGGGTAATGCAGGACTTATATCATCAACCGTACATCCTAGAATCCTGAACCCTGGGTCGGAAGAACCCTCAACCCCAAACCGCCCCAGGCATCCAAACCCAAATCTTTTCTTTGAGAGTTAGGATTAGGGTTTAGGGTTTAGGTTTTAGGGTTTAGGGTTTGGAACCGAGTTTAAAGCTCTGGACCTAGTGTTTTCTTTGTAATTAAACAACTTGGGGGCCGTAGAGAGTAGAAAACGGGTTTGGGGGTTTAACAGTGCTACAGTTTTGCCGGAACAGTACAGGGATAGTAGGACCACTATACTCGTGTTGTAGCGAAGCAACATCGACAATCAGTGGAACTAACTCTGAAGATGGTAGCGGCTAGGGTTTAGGGTTTAGGGTTTAGGGTTTAGGGTTTAGGGCCGCGATTGTAAAAGACGTCGATGCCTGCTTTTTGCATGACTAATGGAACCATGAGAGGCTTTGAGCACTCAGGGGTCTACAGTAAGCTAACTCGCATGCCTTACGCAACACTGTCAGCCTTCATAGTAAATAACCCTAACACAACCCATATGCAGTCAAACCCCTAAAATGTCCGTAAAAAGCCTTAACGGAAGCACTAACGGAAGGCTCCAACACCCCTGCGTTGATGAATATACCGTAAACTATACAGAGAGGTCCTTGCAAGGCTGTAAGACGTAATGGCTCAATCATAAAAGCCTAAACTCCGAGACGACGGAAATCCTTTGAGGAGTTTGTATATGCCTAAACGACGCTGTTTTGGAGACTCCGGGAACCCGCATGGCTTAACTCGCCGACCTCTTCGTCCGTGATGGCTGGGAAGAGCTTCGTTTCAGCCTCAGGAAAGCTAAAGGTGGCTATGGATTGCACCTGTGCCCTCTGTTTGACAACCGGTTTAGCAATGGCCAGAAAAGGGTTTAGAGCATTAGGGGTTCAGGGTTTAGGGGTTTTTGTTTTGGGGTTGTTAGGGATTTAGGGGTTTGAGTGTTTAGGGATTTCGGGCTTATGGTCTCTAAGATGACGTTCCGTTCTTAGAAGTAGACTAAGGTTTGGAGTTATCATAGCATATTTCAAGCTTTTGCTATAACGGCTGACTTGTGAAGTTTTTATGAGGTTCTTTAAAAGGGGCTCTACGAAGGTTACCAAGGTTGGGCTTGAGGGCTCCAGGCCCATTGTCAACTGTCTGTGTTATCTGGGTGGTTGTCGAAATTAGGGTCCCTTTTTTGGTAGCCTAAATATTAGGTGCCGTATTATAATAAGGACCTCAAAAGGCACCCTAATTTTGACAACCACCCATCTATACCTGGAGATGTTTTGGGACAGGCGCGTGCTGGGATCGAACAGTGTCGTTCCAGCAACAGGCACCGAGGATGTAATGTCTTGTTTCAGTTCAATCTACTGTGGATGCCAGAGAGTTGGAACATGGATTTAGGAAGATTAGTGCTAGGATCCCGTCAAGTTTATACTAGGGGCATGGGGATATTCACGTTCCAACTTTCTGGCCTCTACTGTACTGTATAGCTTAGTGATTGGAAGATTTGTTTTTGTAAAGGGTGGAGTGTAAAGTTATGTAACAGTAAAAGCCCTCTGCCTGAATTTGAAGAGATCTACAAAGAACCCTCATGTAGACCGTCATAGGAACCTTGACCACGAACCCTCACAGGAACCCTTCAACAGAAAACTCCCCTTGGCAAAAAATGCTCTTCGTCGGCCCGTGGATAGCGTCGATCTAGCAGTCATCCGCCATTTCAAGATGCCGTACCCAGACCTTGCAAAATCCCTGAAATAGGGAATGTACCTTAGATTATAAAGAATCCCTAATATGAATTAAGGTAGATTCCTTAATTAAGGGATTTTGGAAGGTCGAACTACTACTACTACTAATAATTACTACTACTACTACTACTACTACTACTACTACTACTACTACTACTACTACTACTACTACTACTACTACTACTACTACTACTACGGGTACCACTACCGTACAAGTGCTGCGCTCTCTGCAAGCCTCGGGATCGCCTTTCGGGATCCTCATGTTCCAGATCCCTCGATCGAACTTCCATGCATATGAAGAACCCTAGGGCTCTAAGGACTCATATTTTAAGGCTTTTGGGCCTAACGACCTTATTATATGAGGCTTTTGGGCCATTTTGAGCCTTAGGGGAAGGGGACCCCAAATATTAAGTGCCGTATCATAACAAGGACCCAAAAAGGGACCCTAATAGTGACAACCACCCATATGAAGAAGGGTTCAGGGTTTAGGGTTTATGGTTTCTCTGAAACTCCCAAACTCACATGTTAGAAACAGAAACAGAAACTCTTACTCTTTGAACGTCCCTAAGCCCTACCTGTATCCGCAAACCCTAAACAAACTACTAGGTTATGACCCCTGAATTAAAGGGTAGAACCCTAAAAACGGTAGGTTTTCGGATCCACAGGTAAGCCTTCAACCCCGTGCTTAGAACCTTAACCCCACGTAACCTACCCTTTTTAAGGACTTATATAAAGAAATCATATTAGGGAACCCTGACCCTGAGGGTCCAAGTACCCAAATAGTAGGGTTTTGGTCCAAAAACCATTCAGAGTATGGATTTTGGGACCTAAAACCCTACTATTTGGGTATTTGGACCCTCTGGGTGAAAAAGGTAGGTTCCTTAGGGTCCAGGTAGGGGTTAGGGTTGAAGGAGCCCTTAACCTGGACTGCAAGGCTCACCACGACCCCCCCCCCCCCCCCCAGTGCCCTTTACTGGAGCCCTTAAAGGGAACTCCAGAAAGTTGGAATATGGATTAATGGTAGGATCCCCTATAATTGACCTTAAAGGGGTTACGATAATGATATTCCAACTTTCTGGCTTCTACTGTAAACCCACCTAAACAACCCTAAACCCCTAAACCCTATAGATCCCCTTAAAAGGACCCTTATAGATCCCTTTAAAAGGAACCGCCATAGATCCCTTTAAAGGGAACCTACATTGGGTAGTTGAAGTTCCGTAAGGTCCAGGAAGAGCTCCGAGAGCTCGACCCCGAGCTCAGTGTGGAAGTAGCGTGTCACGAACTTCCGCGCCTCCCCGCGGCCGTGCGTAAAAAGGGTAGTAGGGTTTACCCTGGGGCTCTAAGGACTCATGTTTTAAGGCTTTTGGGCCTAAAGACCATATTATATGAGGCTTTTGGGCCATTTTGAGCCTTAGGGTTGGGGTTCAGTCATCTAGCAATAATTGCAGTGGTACTTTCTGAGCATACTGTTGAAGGAAAAGAAGAATGATGAATATGACGGGACATCTAAGCAGTCCCACGATCCAACAATAAAAATAGCGGTAGTTCTGATAACAACAAGGCCAGACTAATGATTACCACGACTTTAAGCAACAAATGCTTCTTTTGTAGACACCTAAATCCCTAAGGCTCCAAGGTATACATACATTACGTATATTTTGGGGTCTAAAGCCTTTTAAGACCTATTTAACAAAAGAAAAACTACCGACTTTGGGCTATTTGGAGCCCCAGAGACTAGCTCGGAGCGTGGGAGCTTTGATTTCACATAATAGATGATGGGAGGCCAAAAGGGGGGGTTTAAGATTCTTGGGGGTTGGGATTCCTTAATATGAACCCTATTATGGGAACCCTAATCCTTACTAAACCCCCATATGCTAAAACCCCTTTTGGCCTCCTATGAATAGAGGGGCCTTTCTAATCAGAATAGGGTTTCGCGGTATTCTGTACTCTAAAGATAAGAAGGACCCCGCCGCCCAAAGAAATGTCTTGGTAATTATTTAAGCCCCTATCCTAAACCCTGAACCCTATAGATCCCTTAAAGGGACGTTCAGGATCCCTTTGAAGTTGTATAGGTGATTACTAAGGCCCCTATGTTACTCGAAAACGGCGACTCCGAAGCAATGGTGATCTTAGCCTATCGGGCCTCCATACCCAAAGGCTCCATGTACCAGTTCAAAGGGGTCCCTATGTCGTACTATAAGGCCTAAGTATATACGATATGGGTACGTGGAGCCTTAGGGATACTAATTACAAGGCGCAACAGGATGGCCTTTAGAATGCCGCTTATGTTTTTTGTTCTATTGAACAGCCATGGTCTGGGGGTAGTACTTGAAGGATCGTGGAACTTAGTAACTGGGGTTATAAATAAGGTAACCATACTCATGCTTACTTATAACCCCAATTAAGGTACTTATAACCTTACTTACTAAGTCCCATGATCCTCCAAGTAGTGTATAGGATTGAGGATCTAACTAACATAGTTTTTTTGAGGGCCTTTTTCCTTTCAGAATCCGTAGAGAGTCCCATGGAGCAGGCTGTCACCACACTGCCTTGTCTGGTTGTCACCCGAATGGAAAAACCACCCCAGAGGGTCCAAGTACCCAAATAGTAGGGTCTTAGGTCTCAAAATCCATACTCTGAGTGGTTTTTTGGACTTTGAAACCCTACTATTTGGGAACTTGGACCCTTAGGGCACTGCTTCACTGCTTGATGTTCCCACTCACACATGACCCGCTCACCAACAGTCTTGAGACTCGAGCCAGCCCAGTCACCCGCCATACGGTTTACGGTTTAGGGTTTCGCGCCAAGCCCTGGCAATGAAACATCTCCTTGGTCCTTGGTTCCTAAACCCTGAGCTGTAGTACCTGTTTGTTGGATGAGCCAAAAGGACCAAAACTAAATCCTCAAACTATATGGGTGGTTGTCAAAATTATGGTCCTTTTTTGGGCACCCTAAATATTAGGTGCCGTACCATACAAGGGACCCAGAAAGGGACCATAGCTTTGACAACCACCCATATCTTGGGTGGCATTTCGCCTCGTTCTGCTTCTTGGTGGTGGTAGCCATGGTAGTGTCAGACCTGCAAGTCGTTCGAGGCTTACAGTAGCAGCCAGAAAGTTGGAATATCATTATCGTAACCCCTTTAAGGTAAATTATAGGGGATCCTACCATTAATCCATATTCCAACTTTCTGGAGTTCCCTTTAGGGCTTAAGGGTTAGTCCAAAGGCTCCATGTACCTGCATAGTAGATACTTAGGCCTTACAGGGGTCCCCATCTAGGTACGTTAAGCCCTAAGTATATACTACATGGGTACATGGGGCCTTAGGGTAGTAGCCTTACCTCAAAGGGGAAAAGGAGGGACCCTTAATAAGGACCCCTAAGTATATACCCTTAATATAGCCATTATATACCCATTATGTAGCCTACTACAGGGTAGGGGTCCCCATTAAGGGTCCCTCCTTTTCCCCTTTGATTACCGGCTTCGCACAAGAAGTGTGCGAATCTGGGCCATTGTTACTGGTTGCTGCTGAGCCTTTCACCCCCACGAGCTGACCTCCCTAGGGTTTAAATTTCAGGGTTTAGGGTTTAGAGGTTTAGAGGTTTAGAGGTTTAGGGTTTAGGGTTTAGAGGTTTAGGGTTTAGGGGTTAAGGGTCCCGCATACTCCCAATCCTTTGACATATGTAGAGGCCTGGATATTTAGACTGAGGTCGTTCTTATGGAAGAAGTACTGTTGCTGCATTCGGTAACCTAAACAGCCATAGCAGCAATACTTTATATGATTCGAATTAGGAAGGTCCTGAATCTTGTCCTGAGCGCAGGGATTGCTACGCGACTTTTCAGCTCCACAACACCAAACCCGTCGGCCCCCCGTCCTATCCCCACCAAAGCCTCCCAAAACCCTCGTTAACAAACATAAACAACCTGACTAACGAGGAAAAATGTAAAATCGTCTAGCCCTAAGGGTCCATGTACCTAAATAGTATATACATTGGCCTTAAAGTACTCCCTATATATGTACATTGGGCCCAAAGTATATACTATTTGGGTACATGGAACCTTATACCCTAAACCCTCATAGAAGCTTTATGGATCCCTTAAAGGAACCCTTGTGGTACCCTTAAAGGAGCCCTATTTGGGTACATGGACCCTTAGGGTAGAGCAAGACAGAGAAGCCCTAAGTCCCGAAATACATTTTATAGGATCCTTAAGGGGGGGTGGTTCAAGGGGCCTATGCCTTGAGTTTAGGGTTTAGGGTTTAGGGTTTAGGGTTTAAGGGGGGGTGGTTCAAGGGGGGAGGGTACTGGGGAGCTTTGGGGAACCTTAGGGAAGCTTAGGGAGTATTGGGGAATAATGGGGATTACTAGGTTACCTACCCCCCCTTGGACCACCCCCCCTTAAGGACATCCTAATACATTGGGTTACCATAAATCCTACACGACCCTTTCTGAGTCCTGGTTTGTTCTTCGCATGCTCCTCGCACTGCCTATACTTCGTCATGGTACAATACACCCAACACTATGTTACCAATCCTGAGTTGCTTATGTATGTACACATGTATGTGTATATATACATATACATATACACATATATAAATTGTTAACACCAATGGTGCAAAACACATGATAATGAACACCGTGTATTTACAACGTAAAACTTCATAATAAAAGCCCTGTAGGCTGTTGAACCGTGGTAAGACCCGGAAAAAACCGGTAACAAGTTTTCTCCGCCGAAACCCGACCGTCCACCGGTGCATTTTCGCCCTGACCTCCACCTGTCACCCAACTCCGCAAAATGGTAGGTTACCCTAGGCATCTAAGGACTCATATATCAAGGCTTTGGGGCCCAAAGACCATATTTTATAAGGCTTTTGGGCTATTTTGATGCCCAGGGTTATGACCCTGTAATATGAGGTTCACCCCGTAAAGCTGTAGGCTTCTGGATCCGCAGTTGAACCCTTACTCCTAAACCTTGAGGATCCCTATAGATCGCTTAAAGCAACCCTGTGAGGGGACCCCACTCTAGATCCCTTAAAGGAGCCCTTCAAAGGGACCCTAACCAACGACTGCGTGGCGACGAGGAGCCCGTGGATGGCGCCGAAGACCAGGGGCAGCCCCTGCGCCTTGAGCGCCTCTGCAGATTTTGCCTAGCCCTAAGGGTCCATGTACTCAAATAGTATATACTTTGGCCTTAAAGTAGTCCCTATATATGTACATTGGGGCCGATGTATATACTATTTGGGTATATGGACCCTCAGGGTTTGGTTTAAGGTTTACCCTGGGATCTTAAAACCTGCTGTTTTAGGGTTAGACCCTCTAATTAAGGCGTCATAAGCTACTATTTTGTAGGGCAGGTAGGATTTACGGGTTTATGGTTTAGGGGTTTGTAGGGATTGAAGTTTTGCTAGTGTTTAGATTGGCGCGTTTGTTATGTTGTTATTGTTGCTGCTGTTTTGGTTTCTTTTCACGGTGTAAAAATTCGCTCACGTTGCACGACTTTGTTTCAGTTCAGGCAAAGGCTCACAGTTTAGGATTGGGGTGCCAATGTACGGCTTTGAACTGTTACCACGTAGAATTCGGGATTCCTGTGCGGCACGGCAAGGACTTCGCAAAGAGCTTCCGATTTTCGGGGACAGGTTCTGATAGGAGCTCTTGAGGGATTGCCTATTTTTGGAAAATAACTAACTACAAGTTGGGTTTGGGGATTTCAGGGTCTCTTCGAAGAATCCTACCTGTGACCCCAAACCCTAAAAATTAGTACATTGTGACAATTAATGGGACGAGCCCGAAAAACGAAAGGTTCTTGGATCCCAGGTAACCCCCCAAACCCTTAAACTCAAAACTCTCTAAATATCCCTTATAGGAGCCCTTAAGGGAACCCGAAGGAGCCCCTAAACCCCAAACCCTTTACCCTAAACCCTGACCCCTGAAGCCCTAAATCCCAAACCCCAATTCCTTCAAAGTTTAAAATCCGAACCCTTGAAAGCCCCTAAACCCCAAATCAAGCCTAAACCCAAAATCCCTAAGCCCTAAGCCCTAAAACCCTAAACCGCAAATCAGGCCGTGAGGGTCTTGTACCCGAGATCGTCAAAAGCCGGCTCCTGCAGCAGCCAACGCTTTCGGCATGAAGGAGGCTTCCACGGATTTAGCCTACAAAAGTAGTTGTGCTTATTTGGGGTGTGTGATGTATACAAACCGGATTGTTCCGCTGTCATAGGACGGGGGCAGCCCCCAAGGTTTAGGGCCGTTTAGGTTTAGGGTTTGGGGAGGCCTTGATGAAGAGCTACACAGAAGCACTTTACACCCCAAGCCCCAACACGACCCTTCTTGGCCTGCAAAATGCTGAACCCTGAAACCAGCTGGAACACACAATGAACACACAACCATCAACCATCTTCCCTTCCAAAGAGCTTAACCCGTAGTGCTATTACAGCAACAGGTACCGTAAGTAAATGCATATGTATATATATATATATATATATATAATATCCATCCCCACAGGCCTACTAATGCTAAAATCTAATGAGGCCCTTGTAGAAATCCCTTGTAGAATCCCTGCCTCCAACCCGACAGAAAAATTGATACTGACACTATACATACAGGACTTAACCCTGGAAGACATAACCCATAAAAGTAGAAGCCTGCAAAATCCTGTGGGAGCAGCGATACAACCCGACAAAGCCCCTTACTACAAGTATAAACAAACGCCTACCAAAACACACACAACCCTTGCTTTCTAAACCCCTACCTAAACCCTAAACCCTAAACCCCAAACCTGGGGAGTCATGGGTCCTCCAGACTCGCGTGGGGGCCGAGTACACAGAGAACCACGTCCGCGCATTTGGCAGCATCCATGACCTCGGTGTTTTGGCTTAAGGGTCAACGTGCCCACACCGTGCTCATGTAGTGGACACGTTGGCCCTAAAGTTCTTTTATACATATATATATATATATATATGTATGTATATACATGTATAGAGGGAATACTTTCAGGTCGTTGTATGTGTGTCACTAACAAGCTATTACTTGAACCTTACGGTTTAGTTCTACGAGTTTTATGAAAACAGCTTGACACCGCTTTGAGTTATAAGGATTTAGGGCTGAGGGCTTACCTGCGGACGCGAACCCTACAAGATAGTAGGGTATGACTCCTTAATCAGAGGGTAGAATCCTTAAAACGTTAGGTTTTCGGATGCCAAGGTAGGGGTTTGAGGGTTGGCCTTTTTTTAAGGACCCTTTTCCGTCTCGCTGGGATGCCCGGGTTGTGACGGCTTGGGGTTTAGTAGCTCAGGATCCTCAAGGGCTCAGAGTTCAGATTCCGGGTTCCATGGGGGGGGGGGGTTGAAAAGGCTTTGCATGGTTCCCCGACGGCCCCACTGCCGACGAGGACTCTCTCGCCGCGGCAGGAGGCCAAGATGTCGCAGTCACTGAGCTCGGGCTCGCCGTTGACGAGGGAGATGAAGGAGTGCCTGTTGCCGCACAACTCGCGGCTGATGATGACGACGCCCTTCACCCTAGGGGCGCGGTAGACACTTGCCCCGAACAATCCAACACTAAGCACCGGGCCGGCTGGCGCTATGAGCTCGGCGGCGATGCCTTTGGGGAGAAGTCGTTCTGGCCAAAGGCGCTGCAGTCGAAGTCCTGGCCGCTGCCGCCTGGGCCAACTACCCTCAAGGCGTGGCTGTGGCAGAAGGAGACGGAGCCGTCGTACTCGAGGTTAAAGACGCCGACCCAGGAGCGGACTTCGTCGATGAAGGCAAGGAACTTGTCCTTGCCGGTGAGCTCGCAGGCGGCGCCAAGGAGGATCACTATTCGTTTCAATCTGGGCTATTCTGTGGATATTTATAACCTGTGCCTCCAAAAACCTACCGTTTTAAGGGTCAGACCCTCTAATTAAGGGGTCATAACCTACTATTTCGTAGGGTTTGGGGATACAGGTATGGTTCAAGGAGGATCACTATTCGCGTTAATCTGGGCTATTCTGTGGATAATTATGAGGTTTCAGAATCTACCAGGGCGCAGGATTCAGCGTTTCGGGTTATTTGTTGCAGTGGCTAACTGCTAAGCCGTTTAGGCTGTCGCTTTTGGAACTCAGCACTTAACCCGCCCAAAAAAACTTTACAGCTCTTCTAGACTCGTTTGAACGCACCCTGTAAGCTCTAAACCTTAAAA